CTCTCTCTCTCTCTCTCTCTCTCTCTCTCTCTCTCTCTCTCTCTCACCTGGATGCTGGATTCGGTTCATGTTTCCTAGTCATAGAGGGAGAACTGTGATCTGTGAGTCCCCCTTAAATAAAGAACCCCTTATTATACTTAATTCTGAGTTAGTCTGGGATTAATTTATTTGCGTTCTTTTTCATATGGGTGCGCACATGTCTATATACACACATACATACACTTACACAGAGACACACACTCACATACATATCCACATACACACGATCACACATTTGAGGATGAAATAAATTTTAGGAAAAACTGTGACCGTTTAGAAAAGAAGCGGGTTTGACTAAGAAACACAAAGTTCAGCCTTGGGAAGCTTTAGATTTTCCTAAAACAGAGAGCGGCTACCCGGGCACTCAGGATAAGACCCTGAGCGATGAGGATTCCTCTAAAACACCCAGAATTGTGTGTTATTTCTTTTGCATTTTGATTTTGAAAGGTTTACCAAGAAAACCTGTCAGTGGCACTCGGCAAACTTAAGTCCCACGCTGGCCCTCTCTGGTAAGGAAGGAGTTGGTACCTCTGGGAAGTGATCCTCACTCTGAGATAAGGACATCCAGGGGGCAGTGGGGGGTTTCTTACTTCCTGGTATATAAAGAGGGGAACTGCTTCTTCCAAGGGTTCGCCTCGGAGCTGGCTCCTTTCACACTCACCCAGTACCTGTCACTGCTCTGCCCTCTGAGACAGCAGATGTTAGCTGTCAGCCTCACAGAGGGCGACCAGCAATCAGGAGAAGTCACGGGGTATTTTCAGTTTCTGCAGAAGGACAGATTCAACCTCTTTCTGACAGACAGTTTACAGCCCACACAGGGCTTTTCCGTGAGAACTGGCATGTGACAGACGCTCCTGCAGTTTGAGGACACTCTGTTAGTTAATATCCATTCCCCTTCTCTCCAGGAGCTACAGAGGGATGGACTGGAAACCCGGGCTGCCAGGTCCCCTCCGTCTCCAGCCCTGACCAAACCGAAGGTTTTCCTTTGATCGGTCAAGCTCCTGACTGCCCTCATTCTGGTAAAGCCTTTCAGCGCAAGCTCCCAGGCCCTCTGCCGTCCGGTCCCTTAGATTCAGACACACAAGATGCAGGCTGTCAGATATGGCTCTCACCCTCCCATCTTAAGCAGATCCTTAAATTCTGATCTACGGCAACTTGTGGGAAAAGCACACATCTGGCATATCTCTCACGCTCACAATCAATGAGATAGTGGATTTCTTTTCCGTTTGCCATTTCCCCCAGTGTGTGTGATTATCATGGTTACACGGCATGCTTGCTTGTGTGGGAGCACATGTACAGGGCATACACGTGGAGGCCCGAGGTTGATGTTGACAACCGTACACAATCTTTCTTACACTGTTGTCAGTCAAACCCAGAGCTTGCATGGATCACTCTTGCTAGTCCACCCTTCTGTGTTCCCGTCTCTGCCTCCCAAGGCTGCAGTTATACCACACCCACCTGATATTTTCTGTGTATTTCTGAGGAAATATGCAAACTCTGGTCTTCACACATGTAGGGTGTGTAATTTAGCCACTGAGCCAACCCTTTAGCCCTAACCAATAAATTTACAAATTATACACACAGAGGCCAGAAGCCCTATCTAATCTTTACAAACCAGGGTACTTACTTTTCCCAAACTTACAAATGTTTGATTATTCATATTAGCATAAGCCTTTTAGCAATAAAATATACTCTCCTGCTCCCACTGCATAGCCAGTAATTGTTTGACCATAAATAAGGCCACCCAAGGCTTTCTCATAACAATTCCCTCACACAAAGTCAAAACCATCTCCTACTCCTAATCATACATACAAATTTTAAATAGCTCTTGGAGTCTTACAATACATGTGACAATATAGATATGTCTTCTATCCTCTATGGAACCATATTAGAAATTAAGTGATAACATGAGGCCTAGCCAGGCCCAAGTCCTCGTGTCTGAGCAGAAGGGACTTGTAAAATGGTTTGGTGGCAGATATGGGGAAGGAAGTTTCATAAGGTCACTCACAAAGCAAACACACGCAAGTTAGTACTGAGGAAAAGAGCGTAACCTGTCCAGCTTCACTGATGGGCAAAACTGCCTAAAAATATAAAAATGTTACATGTGCAATTTTCCTCTGGCTCTCTAAATTTCTTGTAGTTTCAGATAAGAAGTAACAAAAATCCTAGGTAGAATGACTAGTGTGTACACATAGACACTGTGTGCAAATTTCTGGCCCCAGATTGTCTTGCCCGTGGCCTACTCTGGCTCCATGAACTTTTGGCTCTGTGTGTGTGTGTTCCGTGTGTGTCCCATGCATGTGCCCCATGTTTGTGTCCCATGTATGTGTCTGTGTGTGTCCCTGTGTGTTGACCATGTGTGTCTGTGTGTTTATGAGTGTGTATGAGCCTCTGTGTGTGTGTGTGTGTGTATGTGTGTTATGAGAAAAATTCCTCCTGATGAAAAATTCCTGAGACCATGAGATTCAATCCGTCAGCACCTGTGAAAATGTTGCCCTAAGGAGCCTGTGAAGCTAGTGACAGACACCTACCACAGGGATAAGAGGCATGATACAGGTTATGTCGGTCATGGATGACAGAACTGTAAATCACGCTATGAAAGTCTAAACAAAGAAGCCCATCAAAGAAAGATGATCAGTCAAACCTGAAATAGCCAAGCCCGGGGCAGAATTTGCTGAGTGGTTAGCCTGCTTCAGATGTCACGCTGCTGGTCTGTACAGATCTTTTAAGTGAGGCCTACTTTTCCTTTTATCTGAACAACAAAAAGTCAAGTTCATCATTACATAAACTCCAAAAATTCAAGCCCAGCCTAGCAGGTCAGAAGCGGTCACCTTTTCCCTTTCCCCAACCCCAGTGAGTCAGCCAGGGTGGGTCAGATTGCACAGGATTTAGCTTAGTAAAGACCTGGGAGAATGCAGTTCAGCTTGAACTCCTTTTACTCCTACTCTGTCTCCTCTCCCCTCCCACTTCAATCTGGGTCTTCCCCATTGCCCCATCACAGTGGAATCTAACTCTTCCCATTAAAAAGTGAGCTGGAAAATTCTGTTGTCATAGTAACAGAGGAAATGCTATTACAACTTAGGAGAAAAAGCTATGTATCAATAAATATTTTAAGTGAAAAACATAGGGAAACAATATAGGAATTCATGCTTCAAGGACTAAAATTGATTCATATTTTATACATATATATTGGTATACACATATATTTTGTACATATACAAGCATAGTTATTATATGCAGCTTACAAATTTATTATATGCAGCTTTACATTTCGTTTGGCGAGGAAGTTTCTTAATGATGCCCATAATTCTCAGATAACTGCCAATAGTATGTCACTTTTTGAAAGACTGATTGTGCAAATTTTAACATAAGATCTGTTAGTGGTTATTTTAGAAAAGCATTCAAATCATCAATTTATTCATTCATATAAGTATTTACTTACTATACACGATACACATGCCCCTACTGAGTATGTGGTACCTTTTGAGATCTGAAATTGAAGAATATTTATTGCTCTTGTTTAGATTTGGGTTTTCTGTATGGAACCTTCGGAGAGTCCTGGAACTTTACCATCCAGGCAGCTGTTTCCAGCTGACTTCTCTGAAGTCAGCACTGCCCTGGGTGGACATCAATCAGAAGTCCAGATCCCACATGACATCG